GCAGGCAGGGGGGGCAGGGGGGGAAGACGTCTTTATTTATTCATGCCTTCAGATTGCAGCCGTGTTTATGTGGCTGAATAATTGATGCCGGAGCCGGCTCTATGTGCATGAAAGTGGTCGGTCTTTTGCCAGGTCAAGCAGACAGGAGAGCCTGAGAGGCCCTGGCAGCATGTGACTGAGAGCCAGACAAGCTCAGGAAGAGCCCTACGGCCTGGGCCCAGCCTCGTCAGGCTCTGATCCAGTGCTGGGAGGCCCTTTCTTCAAGTGGCACAGACTGGCCACCTTGGACTTACTGGCACCACATGTCCTAGAGCAGATCTGTCTTCCTCAGGGGAAGCTCTGGCTGATAATATACAAGCGACAGTCATGAAGGCATCAGGGGTGCAGGACAGTGAACCTTTCAGATGTGCATTACATTGAGAAGTACAAAACTGACTGATGGAGCAGGTTAAATGTGGTTGTAAGGCTGTGCAACAAGTACATGTGAGAAATGAAGCAGGATCCCAGATTGCCATGTTTCTATGAGCTTTTGCCAGGAGTGTCTTAAGCCTAGAGGGCGTCCTCAGCTCTTGTGTGTGATTTCTGTCTTCCAGGCCCTGGACGTGGCTCTGAGATCTGCTCCCTCCTTCCTCCAGTGTCTAGTCCCCACCAGGGCCCAGCTGCTGGGGATCTAACCACAGCTCCGCTGTCTGTCCTGCTCCTGCACCGGCCGCACTGCTGCTGCACACAACACACAACACACAACACACACTGCTACACAACCAGTCCAGAGAGGCCGGTGGAGATCAGCGGCTGAGAAGGCAGGATGGGTTACTGGTAGCTGGAAACATTTTTCCCTTTCAGATGAAGATGTATAATAATCACATTATTTTGTACAGTACCTTCAAAAGCAACCACCTCAAAGTGCTTTTTATACATTTCCATCCATATCAGTAAAGGCATAATAAGAGCCTAATAAACTGGCCAGTCTGTCAGGATGCTCAACATTAAATTAACGGCAACTGGCATGAAACATCAGTGAATTATTGCGGAGTTAATTACTGCTGGCTGGAAGAGACTTCAGTACGTTTCCGGCACACAGCAGCCTCATAAATATACATACCTCCCTCACCACACTCTGCACACCGCAGTGTGGAGCTATATTTATAGTGGGTTCCTATAGGAATAGATGGAGTCTATATATATATGAACTTCAGAAGTCTCTCACAAGCTTGCCTACTTGTGCTGCCCCCACTCCTTGCATAACGTGGAGCACTGGTGTGGCTGTGAGGAGCTGGCACCCTCTCCTGGAGGCCCTCAGCACCCTGGGGCCTGAGCCCTGAGCCCCAGGCAGGGCCATCCTCAGGGTCCCCCCTCTGCTAGCCTGCACTATAGCGCCTCCTGCTGGAGGTCTGACTGCGCTGCGCCCCAGGGCCCTGGGTCAGCAGTGACTGCGTGAGAGAGGGGCTGCAGCTGAGCTGTACCTGGGGCTCCTCTGTGCAGCACATTCGTGGGGCTCTCGGAGAGCTCCCACAGTCCCCCCTCGGAAATATTCATACACAGGGCTCCTGAAGAACACGTGTGTGTTTTCCACGCTTTGTAAACATCTTCCAGTGAGTGGACACAGCAGCACAGCTGTGACGAAGAACAGCTACAATCAGCCAGGGTCTGAAACACACAGGACTTGGTCCAGACTAAGTGTTCTGTTCTGATCTGTTCCCATACGGACCTGCTGTAGCTGGTACTGCAGAAACCTGGGTCAGGCCCTTTCCTGACAGACCCGCTGTAGAGACTTGCGTTGGTCCCTGTCCTGACAAACCCCCTATAGAGACCTGGGTCAGAACCGGTCCTGACAGAACTGCTGTAGAGACACGGGTCGGCCACAGTCCTGACTGAACTGCTGGTGCTGTAGAGAATCGGGTCAGAACCGGTCCCGATGGGTCTGTCGGACAGAAAGCGATGCCCCAACTCTCACTATGTCAGCTCGGCCCAAACACCAACACAGAGGTCAGCCATGCCGGACAACCCTACAGCAGTCGGGTCCTAATATAAAGGCAATACCCCCCCCTCAGTCAGTCAGCTACTGACAGGGGCTTGTGCAGA